CATGAATACCGCTCACACGATTATTGATGTCCACAATGGAAAGATCACCATGGAGTTTGATGGAGAGACCATTCACTTCAACATCTTCGACGCAATGAGATATCCTAGTAATATATCTCCATTGTATCGAGTTGATGTGATTGAGCCAATCACCCAACAATTATTCGAGTTGTCAAATGGGGATCTTTTGAAGATGGTGCTTAACATGAGTCTTGAAGGTGAAAGTTTGAAGAATACCTTGGATATGTATACATTGGATTCCGAAGTCGAAAATATTGTGAAAGCTTTAGAAATTACTAATTCCACAAAGAAGGATGTTTCTCAAGTTGCATTATCTCATTCTCCAATCAAGATGCCACCTTCCATAATCCAACCACCCACACTTGAGTTGAAAGCTTTACCTATCCATTTGAAATATGCTTATCTAGGTCAAGATGAGACTTTACCGGTGATTATCTCTTCTCAATTGAAAGACTTTGAAGAAAACCAATTGATTGAAGTCTTGAAAGAGCATAAAGAAGCCATGGGATGGACCATAGCGGACATCAAAGGGATAAGTCCTAATGTATGCACTCACAAAATACTCATGGAAGATGATTGCAAGCCTAGGAGGGAAGCTCAACGACGATTAAACCCTCCCATGATGGAAGTTGTCAAGAAGGAGATAATCAAGCTACTTGATGCAGATATGATTTATCCAATTTCCGACTCCAAATGGGTTAGTCCGGTGCAAGTGGTTCCCAAGAAAACGGGAATCACAGTTGTGGAGAATAACAAAGGTGTAATGGTGCCAACTCGAGTTCAAAATGGATGGAGGGTGTGCATTGATTATAGAAAGTTGAATTCAAGCACGCGGAAAGATCACTTCCCTCTTCCTTTCATTGATCAAATGCTCGAGCGATTGGCGGGGAAATCGCATTATTGTTGCCTTGATGGATACTCGGGTTTTCACCAAATACCCGTTGCCCCCGAAGATCAAGATAAAACAACTTTTACATGCCCCTTTGGCACATTTGCTTACAAGCGGATGCCATTTGGATTATGCAATGCTCCCGCCACATTCCAAAGATGCATGGTGAGTATCTTCTCCGAGTATGTTGAAAGTATAATCGAAGTGTTTATGGATGATTTCACCGTGTATGGGAATTCGTTTGATGAATGTTTGGGTAACCTTAAGAAGATTTTGAAAAGGTGCATAGAGAAAAAGTTGGTGTTAAACTTTGAGAAATGTCACTTCATGGTTAATCAAGGAATCATTTTGGGACACATCGTCTCCAAAAAGGGCATTGAAGTTGATAAAGCCAAAATTGATGTCATCCAAACCCTACCTTACCCAACATGTGTTAGAGAAGTGAGATCTTTCTTGGGTCATGCGGGATTCTATAGAAGATTTATCAAAGATTTCTCCAAGATTACGCGACCAATGTGCCTTCTCCTTCAAAAAGATATCGACTTTGACTTCAATGTTGCATGCCAAGAAGCCTTTGACAAACTTAAAGACTTGCTCACTTCCGCACCAATAATCCAACCTCCAAATTGGGAGCCCTCCATTTGAAATAATGTGTGACGCAAACAATTTTGCTATTGGAGCGGTCTTAGGTCAAAAAGAGGGCAAAGCATCACATGTCATATACTATGCTTCTAAAACATTGGATAATGCTCAAGCCAACTATTCCACCACTGAGAAGGAACTTCTAGCCATTGTATTCGCCTTGGAAAAATTCCGGCAATACCTTCTTGGGACAAAAGTAATTGTATATTCCGACCATGCCGCATTAAAGTATCTCATGACCAAGAAAGATGCCAAACCACGGTTGATTCGTTGGATTCTTCTTTTACAAGAATTCGACCTTGAGATAAAGGATAAAAGTGGTGCCGAAAACTTAGTTGCGGATCATTTAAGTCGGTTGAATGTTGGCGATTCTTCTTCTCCTATCCTTGATGAATTCCCGGATGAGCACCTCTTCCATATCTCCAATTCCATTCCATGGTATGCGGATATTGTCAATTACTTGGTTACTAAAGAAATTCCTCACGCCTTTACCAAGCACCAAAAGGCCAAGTTGAAGAGTGATTCCAAATACTACGTATGGGACGACCCTTATCTTTGGAAGCATTGCCCGGATCAACTAATACGGAGGTGTGTTCATCAAAATGAGGTCGAGTCAATTTTGAAATTTTGCCATGAATATGCATGCGGGGGACATTTTGGTCAAAACAAAACCATGCGAAAGGTGCTTGAATGCGGAATCTATTGGCCAACAATGTCAAGAGATACCTATCTATTTTGCAAGAGTTGTGATAGATGTCAAAGAACGGGTACCATATCCATGAGGCATGAGATGATTCAAAGTTCTATCCTTATTTGCGAAATCTTTGATGTGTGGGGAATCGACTTCATGGGTCCCTTCCCCGTTTCGTTTGGTTATACTTATATACTCTTGGCAGTTGATTACGTTTCAAAGTGGGTTGAAGCAAAGGCTACACGGCATGATGATTCAAAAACTGTTATTGACTTCTTGAAGTCAAACATTTTCGCAAGGTATGGTGTACCGAGAGCCTTGGTGAGTGATAGGGGCACTCATTTTTGCAATAAAATGATGGAAGCAATGACAAAGAGATATGGTGTCACACACCGGATATCAACCGCTTATCATCCGCAAACAAATGGCCAAGCCGAAGTGTCAAACAGAGAAGTCAAACAAATTCTTGAAAAGACCGTTAACAACACTACCCGAAAAGATTGGAGCTTAAAGTTAGAAGATGCCTTATGGGCGTATCGGACCGCCTACAAAACTCCAATTGGTATGTCTCCATTCCGCCTTGTCTATGGAAAATCTTGTCATTTACCGGTGGAATTGGAACACAAGGCATATTGGGCGGTTAAAAAGTGCAATTTCAATCTAGAAGAAAGTGGAAAGCACCGAAAAATGCAACTTCAAGAACTTGAGGAGTTGAGAAACGAGTCTTACGAAAACGCAAGCATCTACAAAGATAAGACGAAAGCGTTTCATGACAAGCACATCACTCGAAAACACTTTATTCCAGGTCAAAAAGTTCTTCTTTATCATTCACGCTTAAAACTATTCCCGGGAAAGTTGCGATCTCGATGGCACGGACCTTTTATTGTCATAAAAGTGTTTGATCATGGTGCGGTTGAAATCAAGAGTATGGAAACAAATCAAATATTCAAGGTGAATGGGCACCGCTTGAAACCATTTTATGAAGGCTTTGATACAGGAGAATTCGATAACATAACATTGGAAGTACCAAATTACGAAAGTTGATGGAAGCGGGACTATGTCTTGGCAAAGACGTTAAATAAATGCAATGTAAATAAATAATGTCCGTTTGAAGTTTTGGGTGTTTCTACATTTGAAGTTAGCCATAAAAATAAGCATATAGAAGCCTTCCAGTGATTTTGGTGAAGTTTGAAAATTTCCAAAATTTTGACTTTCGCGCGGGTGCCCGTGCAGACTTTGCGCGACCGATCCCAACCGCGCAGGTCCCGAGTTCTAAATTACACCAACATGGGGTGTTTTCTGATTGTTGCGCGCGGGTGCCCGCGCAAATGTTGCGCGACCAGCCCCCAGCCGCGCAGACTCCGAACTCCAAATTGCACAAACATGGGGTACAATCTGATTGTTGCGCGCGGCTGATACCCACCGCGCAGGACGTTTGCGCGGCCAAGACTAACTCATTTTATTTAATGCGCGGCCACCATATTTGCCCTAAATTGCAACAACTTACCCGGATACCCGCCCCATACCCACCATTTGAACCGGATTCGACCCATTTATCACCCAACCTTATAACCCCTTTAACCCGTCGGCTCCCCTTTTCCCTCCTTGTGCCTCCCGTCAGCAACGAGTATCACACGCCGCCGCCTCCTTCTCCGACCGCACGAAGGCGTCCCCGTCGGTTGCGCTCGTTTTTCATCGCCGGAAAAGCGACGCTTCGTCGGCGCTCCACCACCATTACCTTTCCAACCAAGTCCGCCTAAACCCCATCCCTTTTACCGTCCGCCGCCGCCGCCGGCCGCCACCCTTCCCATCCTCGCCGGAAAACCGAAAAACGTAGATCCCGACACAAACTTCCATCCAATTCCAAAAATTCTTGGGGCAACCTGTACCAAACACTCCACCGCACACCGATCTACTCTTAATTTGGGAAAATCTTATCGCCGGAAAATCAAGCTCCACCACCGGCCACCGGCCGCCGGCCGCCACCACAAATTTTCCCCAAAAATTTCAAAATTTTTGTTTCTCACCGGAGATTCAAAAGACTTAATTTGTGGGCTTCAAATTCAAGCTTGGGGTGCGGATTTTTGCGTATTCCTTTCGGACTTCAACACACAAAGTTGGTAATCCCTTTTAATTTATTGCATTCAATTCTAATTTTACTAGACTTATGCTATGCATTAGGTTAAATAGAATTAGTCTTAGCTTGCCTAGAATTGAATTGCATTTTGCCAAATTGCCAATTTGGAATATTACCCGGTTTTAATTGTTTGATTTGATTGGATTGGTGTGAGGCGAGTGTGAGGGATAATCTTGTTCAAGTTTTTGTCTTTGCTAGATTCATTCACAGGTACAATGGCAAGGGATAAGACCATTCACGCATCTCATGGTTCTTCGCGTGAAGCTCAATCCTCGGGGCCATCCAAGAAAATGTCCACCGACCATGTTGATCGTGATGGGAACCTTACCCTCACGAGTGCCCAAAGCCGCGAGTTCAAATCCAACCTCCAAAAGCGTGCAATCCGCGCCACAAAATTTTACCACCAAGATTCTATGGATCAACTCGGCCTTGACAACCACTTGCGACAATTATTCTTCCACATTGGTTGGCACCGGTTTCTTGATCTTTCTGCAAGAACCTACAAGAAGCCCACAATCGAATTCCTCTCCACGTATGCTCGCAATGACACAGCGCGGGTACTCACTTTCAAACTGTAGGGTCGGCAGCACAGACTCAAGTACAAAAAACTCAACAAGATCATGGGCACATATGACATCTACAACTCCGACATCTACAGCCACCAATGGACTCAATTCAAAAGCTTGCCCAACGTAGAATTTTGGACCCAAATCACGAGCTTGCCCAAGTTCAATCCCAGTCGCCAAAAAGACCCGTTCATCATGCATCCTTGCTGGAGAATTGCCCACCGGATCCTATCCGCATCTATCTTTGCTCGTCACGAGCCGGGACAAATCAACACTGTTGAGTTGTATTTTCTCTATTGCATGTCGCGCCACCGTTGGTCTTTGCCCGATTTCGCCACCTTCTCTTTAGACAAATGTGATAGCCTAAGGACGAAGACCACTGGTGACATTTGTATTGGAGGTCTCATTACCCTCATCGGTTTGGGTATGGGCCTTCAATTTCCAGCATTTGAATATGTACCAGTGGATGATCCACCTCTTTACATTCTCGATTGCATTACTCTCATGCGGATGGAATTAATTCTACCTCATCCTAATCTTCTTGGGCATTTCTCTTGGCTAAACCATGTCAAGGACCCAGTTTACATCTTACCCAATCCAAGTCTCTCCATCTTCACCACCAATCACCCCGAAACATGGTTTTTGCCTCAAGACTTGCCAGACGATGATGATGCAGCCGCGAATGATGACATGCACGTGGATCCTGACAATGCAGCCAGCTTGCTTCCTTGCGCCTTCAAGGCAATAGAAACACCGCAGCCATCCACCGCATAGAGGAACAACAAGCACGCACCCACACTTACATGGAGGACCTATGGTATCATTTTCGGCCCGAGGACGGTTATCCTCCTCGTGGGCCTCCTCCATCTTGATCCCGGTATGATCCTTCCTTACTCTCATCCTAAGCATTGAGGACAATGCTTAATTTTAAGCTTGGGGTGAGGTAATCTAATCTTTTATTTTTATTGCATTTAGGTTGTATATAGTTTCATTTAGAGTTAGTCATTTAGGGCATTCATAAAAATTGCATAAAAAAATCAAAAATATTGCATATTTTCTTTCTTTCTTTTCTAATTTTCATACTTTTTAGATACATTCTACTTTAAGTTCATGCATTTTTGTTCTCTCTTGTCTTCTCATCCCTACAGGTACCATAGCACCGAGTCATAAGTATTGAATCATAGATTGGTCCTGGGTCTTGATATGGAATTCCTTGTATTTGATGAATGGGGCACATTTTGAGCCTCACAAACCACTTTGAGACCGCTTGTGTGGGGGTCAGATGCAGGTAGCTTGATTGGGTCTAGGTGCGGAGGGATGTGGTTGGTCATGCCAATGTGTGCGAGCAAAGACTAGCCCGGTAAGGTATTTTGAAGACATTGAAGATATTGAAGACTCGCATCTTGGTTTTGGAGGGAGTACCCCTTAGTACTCCCGAGTCTCGTCCAAGCCTTGTTTAGTTAGATTCTCACCGCCTTTTTAGGATAAGTTATCATTCTTCTAGGGGTCTAGAGTAGATAGTTAGATAGATTTTGTTTATCACACCTTGCATTGAGGTGCTTGATGAACTTTGAAGTGGGTCCCCCAATTCACATCTTTTGGGACCAAGTCTTTTCGGTAACACCCATTTTTGAGTCATTCCCCACCCTTTTTAGTTGATCTTGGCACATTGTCGATGATCATTAGGTTTTCATATTAGCCTCCATCTATCACTCAATTTTCACTATTGGAGTCCTATGTTACTTGGTGAAATTCTTTAGACCTTTCAAGAAGCAACACAAAGAATGAAGAAATTTGAAAAGTGAAGAAAATAAGAGCCTATTAAAGATGATTCAAGAAAAGCAACAAAAACAAAGAAAAAAAATGAAGAAAAAGAGCAACACAAAAAGAAGAACAAGATTCCAAGTTCAAGACTTATGTTATATATCTAGTTTATTAAAAAAAAAAAAAAAAAAACTAGATGACAAGCAGCAAATGTGACTGAAGACCCAATAACAGAAGTTCAAGATTGAAGATTTAGGTTGTTAGGTTTAGATTTAGGTTAAGTATAATTTTTATTATTTTATTTTATTTTTGATTTTTGGTGAGAAAAGGCCCCGACGATGAGACGGTAGACTGTAAAGGACAGTACAAGGGAGAAGCCTCTGAAACCGGATGTTTGCCCGGAGGCCGTGCTACAAAACCCTATTTCGTTATTATACACTTTGGCCTGACAAATGTAGGAATCATAGTGTGTGAAGAGGCGCCTTTCCTTCGTGCACTATGGTCTACATTGGTGATTTAAAGTGCCCCCACTGGGCGCATCTCTATTTCCTTTGTCTTGCACACCGCGACCGCATCCAGACGTGAGCTATTCGCCCATCAAGTGGTTGAGAATGTGGTTTATGGCTCTAAAGCGGGGAACATTTTGAAGATGCCTAGGGTCCATTGAAGGACTAATTCTGACCATGTTGACTGATGTTGACCAAGTTCTATGGTATCTTTCTTTTTCCTTTTTTTAGATAGTTCATCCCGAACTCATTTTTAGTCTTGTTCTAACTTGAGGACAAGTTAGGTTTAAGCTTGGGGTGATTTGATAGCTTATTTTATTTCCTTATTTTTATTAGTTTATTTTAGATTCTTAGATCTTTTTATCATTAATGCATTGTATTTTATTTTATTTTCTTTAGTTTGGATCGTACCGGGTGCTTGTTATGTTGCATAAGATATTTTGTAGGTTTTTCGGTGCTTGTTGCGGTCGCGGGTTGATCGGAGACGGGCTTAGTGGTCTCCCGAGGCATTATTGGGCTTGGCGGAATCAAAGAGGATGAATTGGGCCTTGAAAGATATTGGCTTGGATTATTTAGGCTTGTGAAGATGGATCATAAAATTCAAATTTTGGGCTTGGAGCATCCATTTGATGGCTAAATGATGATTGGTGCATTTCAAATTACAGGGACAAGGAGGGGGGACCAAAGGAATCTTTGGTAGTGGAAGGGTGTAGTGGCTTGGTGGACCAATAACATTACAGCAACATTTGCGCGGGTGAAATTTCCGTCACGCGGGTACCCGCGCAACTGCCCAGTTTGGGCATTTTGGTCATTTGGCTTGCCTTAACCTTTGGGGATCAGATCTGGGGCTGATATTCACGATTTTCCACCATTAGAGACCTGCAAGAGGCGATTTTGGGAGCAAAAGTTCATTTCCTTTCATCTTTCCAAATCTTAGGTAGTTTCTTTATGCAATTAGATTATTGTTCTTGTTTCTTTGTTGCCATGAGTGGCTAATACTCTTATTTGGTTAATTTTGGCTGAAAACCAATGAATGTTTGTGGGTTTTGAAGGATTTATGTTGATTATCAATTTATTCCATGTTTATGATTCTAGTTTGCAATTCTTATGCTTATTTGATACTTTGATCATGAGTTTAGTATTTGATTGAGCAATAGTTGATTTATTTCATTGATTTTGCATTGGATCATTGAATTTGTCTAGAACAAAGGCTTTATGATGGTAGAAATCATCTCTAGCTTGTGAATCATATCTCCTTTATGGATGTGTAAGCATTTGACATCCTCTAGGAATTGGGGATTCCTTCATTCTTAAAGCTAATTGATTTCTTGGGCTTAATTGCTTCAATTGACCCTTGATCTTAATTAAGAAGGTGTGTTGTGGGCTTCCCCAACCTCCATACTATCTATGAGGAATCTTGGCATATCATGCTTCATGATTGCTATAACCAATTTGGGATGAAAGATAAGCTTTGTATTAGATCCTAATGATAAACACACAAATGTTCATTGTGTTGAATAGCCTTAATTAACCAATTATTCACAACCTTTGAGCATCTCATCAACTTGCTTAATTGCAAGGTTTTTAGTTATTCAAGTATTTTAGTTATCAAGTAATCAAACACCCCCCTTTTTATTTTAATTGTAGTTAGTTAGTTTAATTTCACTAGTTCTATTAAATTGCATTGGTGATTGAATACAACCATTTCCCCGAGGATCGATACCCCGTTTTACCATTATATTACGTTTAGTTAGCAAACAAAGGGTGTAATTTGCTTGGTGGGCTTGACATCCCGATCATTAAGCACACAAGAAGAACAACTGAATCGAGAATGCAAAAATAAATATTTTCCACATAAATTATATGTGGTTAGATACATATAATCACATGTGATTATATACATTTAATCACATATGATATATGTGGACAATATTTATCTTTGTGTTCTTGATTCAATAGTTGTTCTTGTGTATATAATCATATGTAATTATATGTATCTAATCACATATGATTTATATAGACATCATTATTTTTTGTCCGTATAAATCATATGTGACTAGATACATATAATCACATATGATTATATGTATTTAATCACATATGATTATAGTGGACAAAGAACAATTATTGAATCGAGAATGTGACAATGAATCTCATCTACATAAATCATATATGATTGGACACATATAATCACATGTGATTATATGTATTTAATTAGATATGATTTATGTAGACAATATTTATTTTTGCGGTTTCGATTGAATAATTGCTTTTGTATAATTAATCACATATGATTATACGTATATAATCACATATAATTTGAGGTGGACAAGATTTATTTTTTCCTTCTTGATTAAATAGTTGTGCTCATGTACTTAATCACATACGATTATACATATAATCACATGTGATAAAATACATGAGAACAACTATTGAATCGACAAAACAAAAATGAATTATGTCAACATAAATCATATGTGATTAGATTCATATAATCACCTATGATTATATGTATTTAATCACATATGATTAATTTGGATAAAGATTTGTTTTCGTGTTCGTATATAATTATATGTGATTGTATGTATCTAATCACATATGATTTAAATAGATAATATTTGTTTTTTCCAAGTAAAATCATATGTGATTAGAAACATATAATCACATCTGATTAAATGTATTTAATCACATATGATTAGAGTGGAAACAATGATTATTAAATAACGTAAAAAGAATCTTAGCCACATAAATCATATGTGATTGAATACACATAATCACATGTTATTAGGGTATTTGTGAACAATAACATAAAACAAGTAATGCCTATATAATAGGAGAGTTAGTACTCACATCCTTGATCTTGAAAATTAGCTAGCATGAGCAAGATGGATCCTTTCCTTTCCGAGAACCTACATAAAAACTATAACGTTATTTAGCTTGTGTTTGTTGTATTAATCTTATAAAACTTATGTACATATATCCTTATTTTCTCTTTGATTTTAGTCCTCTGTTTGGGATATGTTTTCTTACCTTTCAACCCATTTTTAAATATTGATAAAATTAAACTGGTAAAATCCCACCCTTTATCTTTTCAAAAATATAAAGATATCATTCTAATTATTTTTGGCTTATTACTCTTGGAATAAACTGTATCAATATACTAAGAATTACATCAGACCCTTTATATGTTGGAAACTATACATCCGTATCTAACTATAGGATTTGGAATTTTGGCATTTAGAGTTCTTATGAATTTATTATGATTTTTTGAAATAGTGCATGAAATTTGTGACAGTATGGAACAGCCTGAGAAGATTGCCAATTTTACCCATCAAGGAGTTGGAATTTCAAAATGTGATTCAAAGTTTGAAGAAAGTAGACACACTAAGATTTCCAGAAAACTAAGTCTCATGATTTTTAGATGTTCGTATTGACTTGCGCGGATTTTAGAAGTTGGAGGACAAATTTGGGAAAATTGATCATAATATCTTCTAAATCATTTTT